ACGAAGGTGAAGCATTAAAGGAGCCCCCAACCCGGGGAATCATGATTCTATCCTACCCATAAATCACTGGCTTGAAACTACGTTCACGATAAGAACGAAAAGAACAAAAAATTGCATTTGTTTGGTAAACAATTCGAAAAACCGAAAGGACTGCTACGCGTTCAAATTCCCGCCGGACATCTGTCACAAATGCTGGCGACGGGAACGCTTCCACTTGGTTCTTGGAGTGCTGTCACTAGAAACTCTTTTGACCTTTTGACTTATTGCATAACATCTCACTTCTACTGCATCCTATTCTATCGATCGTTTTGTCTCTATTCTCCAAAATCGCACGCTTTAACCCGATTCTTCAATGCGTCGCCTGATACGGCCGCCCAAGGCGCACTTCTTTCCATGCCTCCCTTACTCGACGTGCCTTCGACCGTCCATAGAGTGTGGTTTTCGTAAGTTTGTTTCTCTTCAGAAACTGAATCTTCGTGCGTGAAACTTTGTATGTTGTCTCTAGTGATCACAACTGACATATTCATGTTGGGAAAGAATGCAAGAATTTTCCGAGCAAATTCCTTTAATACCCTAAATGTCTCGAAATCCTTGGAAATCTGGAAGAGCGATATTCGATTACCCATCCCAGTCGACCACTACAATACAACCACTTGAAAAAAATTGCAAAACAATCCATACACGAGTCTTCCCCCTCTCCTCGCAGAAATCCTCGATGCATGCTTGATCGTGATAGCTTATGATCAGACGTAAAAGCTAAATAGAGTTCCTCATAGCTACAAACATCAGACGCGGAATTTACGAAATATTTTTAGTTTATTTTGCTCTGTTGTTGTTAAATGTATTTCCCCTTCGATATGGTTGGTCCCTCTTTCGTTTTTGTGTGGTTTTGTACCTCCTTATATGTACATCGTTTGGTTTTGCTTTTCAAAGCGCTATCACATTTGCTCTTAATAATTAGATATAGGTTTATTGCTTCTATTGTTGTGCTATTTGTTAAGTAAAAGATTTTTGTGTCCCCTCGCTGTCCTTCCGTCTTACATCCGACACAGTAAACGCCATTTTGAATTTGAAAAACGAACACTTTGACTACGTCCACATACAGCATCGCGCGCGCTCCACAAAGGATATTGATTTTACGCGTGCCTGGTTGATTCTATTGTTCGCAGTTATGCGCTTTCAGTAGCTCTTGAGCGCGAAAACAAGTAGGCGAAAAAAATCTGAATAAACGTGCACACTAGGAGCAAAAAACCAACACTATGGAGACCACCATTCTGAATGTACAAAGATAATTCGTCCTCCCTTTAGCGTTCATTTCATGCCTTAGAAAATTTGATGTTCCTCCAAACACCAAGAAGCGGTGAATTCACAGGGTAATTTAGTTCGCTAATATGCATAAATGAAAAACTTTTGAAGTCTTCTGATCGTTATTGACCACAGATAATGTTCTGCTTGAACATATCCCATACGGATGTGTAGCAAGTCACCTCGCGATGTCGCGTCAGTTGCAGTTCTTCAACCGTCCAATAGAAATTACTCCACTAAATTCTCTGCGATGACGTTCTCCTATTTCCCAAAAAGAGTGTATAAAAGTGTTCAAAGAAAGCCGAACAGAAAACAGGGTGCAAAGTTAGTCGAATGGACCACCAATTATTGGAATACGGTGGGCACAACATGTACGTGGGCACTGCTGCCCATCCGTATGACATTACCCAGACCCTTAGGGAACGGTTGACGGCAGCCGTCAACCACGCCGCTGAAGTCCCAGACGAAAAAGTCACATACTGCTCTGCTACCCGTACGGTCACCTAAAAGCTTTTTTGAAGGAAGGAACGAAAGTCAGAGACGCCCGCGAGTAGGGTTGTCACATTATGCGAGAGTCCTCAGAAACACTACACAAATCGCGAAGACACACCAAGCTCTTTCGATTGACCGTGCTCCCCTTGTAACGATGGGAAATCGGTAATACAAATCACTTTGGTGCTGATTTCCCTAACATTTGATAGTGTTTCTTCGATAATCCTCTGAATACACCTTGTCGATAGATATGACTCAAACGCCTTAGCAAGGCAGGACTTCCCCACCCTCTACCCAGCACAGGCTCTAGCTTACTGCACTGTGTGTCACAGGCAGGGGGCACCAAGTCCCCCAGGTTACATCCTAGCGCCTACCGGTATTTCGAAAATCGTCCGTCCCACACAGACGTCCGACTACATTGACACGCGCTAAACACAACACACACACTGGTGAACCATTTCACTTGCTCTTCCCTACAAATGCTATTAAAAGGCACGTCTTCTTCACGGAATTATTAGTGAAAACATATTTACTTATTTACTTCATTTCTTATTTATGTATTTTATACTTACTTATAATACTCGATAGCAGTAACACCATTGTTTTCGTGGAGGAAATAGCAACCAGTAAACACAAACCAATTCAGTGAGAAAAACCAACACTTAACGCCAGAGAACTTTAGTAAACTCAAATTCCGATGACGGAATGAGTATAAGAATACGGTCCACTTGCACAACTTCACGGTCTCACCGACCTTCACCCGAACGCCTAAAACGCACGCCGGGTCCAGAAGAACCAAACCATTACCCTGGCACTACTGTCCCTACACCTTCACTCTCTTCAATCAAAACCATTTTTCTTGTCGCTACACTACTTCGCCTGAGTCCTTGAACAAGGCAAATGCTTACACCTAAAGTGCGAACTTGTACATCTATCAAACCCCAGTTCCAATAAGGCCAGCGAAATATTGGTTAAATGCCTTCGCATTTGACTCTTCTCAGCAAAATCATGATCTGCAACACAGCCCAATCGCGTCTACTTTATTTCGCATCGGAAATCTCAATCATACAATCTAAAAATGAACAGTATTCCTACCAAACCGCGGTTGTTTGAGCTTGTCGTCTGTACCCAACCGACGAACCAACTTAACGTCACATTGGAGAGAAAGCAACGATTCTTATTTTGAATTTTATTTATAAATTTAAAAGAAATGGCTGAATAGGATATTGCTAGCCCCACACATACAATTCAGTAATCACGAACAAAATAAAAAAACGCCACACAAAGACATCCACATAAAACATTTACTGCTTTACATCATCAATTGATTCTGAGAATTACAATTTGGCAACCCGAAATTGACATGCCTGTTCGACACGAATCAGCAACGGAAATCACTAGGAAACAATTAAAAGATTTCTGCGGCAACTATACATACAACCAATAAAAGCAAATGAAGTGCAGAAGTGTCAACCGTGTATGGACTAATAAGTGCGACTGCAGTTACAATGGGAAACAAAGCTCGATTCAACTTCATAGCCCTGTTTTGAAACATATTGATTAACTTATATATTACTACTACACACCGTCGATTATCGTGCTAAGGAAAACAGGCCCAGTAGATGAACCCTGCACCCGGGTCAACCATCACCCGGGAGTTTGAGAAACACAACGCGCATAACAGAGAAAGAATGGAATCACAGTCGCTGGCACAAACAGGCATCATCGAATTAAAGCGAATTTGAAATAAAAAAAAATCGATTGGAGTCTTAGAGAACCTTGAACGTCAGCCTCTCTTTTTCACTACTTCCCAAATAGTTCCTGGAAAAAAAAACTGCTCTAAACCCTGAAATGGCAAATATGACGCTGTCCTAAGAAAATCTGCCACTTCTAAGTGAACGATTTGTCGGATCAGCCGTAATAACTTATTCGATTTGAACACCACATTGGCAATGTTGTGCTCTTCAGTTATCGATGGTTGATGGGTACCCGACAGGAAGCCCGCCGCGCGGCAACAAGGCAGAGTCAGCGGACCAGTCGCAGCGAGTACTGTAGTGAGTTCACGTCTACTTAAAGGAGGAATTCACGATAAGAACGAAGGTCAAAGAAGGGAAAAATTGCATAGTTGGGAGACAGGCGGACCTCCTGAGGGTGCTGACCGACGCGCAATTGGCAGCGAAAGATTTGACCTCGGCGATCTAGCATGGCTCACTCTTGGCGCGGTTGGCGGGGTACGCCCACCGACTATCTAATCACTCGCCGCAGGTCTATACGTGGCGAGTGAAGATAGCAGGGCACAGCGATGAGAGTCGCATCAATGCGCAAATCAACGGGCAAGGAAGGGTCCCATTTCTCGGGTTTCGGGCCGTTTCAATGGTTTCTTCTTCATCCCTGCTCCACTGACCACCTCTACCCTTATTTCCAATGAGCTAACTTTTCATCGTAATTCTGCCTTAAAAAATGTACCACTCTACGTCCTACATCGCACAGCACGCGCTGCGACTCGTCCGCTGACTCTGCCTTCTTGCCGCGCGACGGGCCTCCTGTCGGGAACCTGGTAGTTGATACACCATTAGAAGGTATACAAAGAAAACACGACATCGCCGCTGACCAAAATACCCCTGAACGCCCTTCAGGCCGCACCTACGATGCCGACAACCTAACTTGAGGAGCCTGGGTTTCACATTTTGACAGAATCCGTTAAATTCGGAATTACTACGCTTGTCAATTGAAAGCTATCATAACCTTATGGAATGAAGAAGCAGCATCGCAGAGGGATTGCTCAGACCTCTACGGACTTGAATCAAGATGGAGGATGCCATACCCTTGAAAGTACGCCAGAACCCATAAAAAGCATATGGAACACAGAGAAAATAACGCGAGAGTGATAGGGATGAAAAAAGTGTAAAAATATAACAGTGCTTCTACAACTAATTAGGATCAGTCATGAAGAGAAATGCAAGATATGAGAATAAATGAAGCCACAGCGTAGTCGTTTTTCCTCAGTGGGCGGAGCAATGATTGGACAACTACCCCAATCATTACTGCCACCTGGACGATATACTTCCCTGGGCGATGAATCAGGAATCTCTTCGTTAAACGCGCGACTTTCGACAGCGCTTCGCGACTTCGTTGTTAGAAAGAGCTCGAAATGAGATCCATGAATCAATGTTGGGGTATTCGTGATTTTAATTATAACTACTCTAAGCAAAATCATGAAGACTCCCAACAGCTTTGGCTGCCGCTATTCGCACGTTCACATCTTCTGGATCCCTCAACAGCAGAACGAGACCTGAAAAACCACGTGACAAAGATTTATATGAAAAGAGGAATCAACAAAAAAGTTGAATTAAGAACTCACTAGAGAACACAAGATCTTTGCTGATGATGGCACGAAGTTGCGGCGTCAAAACTCCCAACATATGGCCCGTCAGAAGTGCAGCATTCGCTCGGATACGGGCATTCGAACTTTTGAAGTAGTTACTGCACGTCAACGCGTATTGATTCACTCGATCAGGAAATGACAACGCCTGAGAAATGAGGGACTTGCCAATAACAGAGGAATAAAAGATTTCATGCAAAAAGATAATCGCCTTTTTCCAAAGGCGTCTGTCCATTTACTGACGAGTCACAAAAAGATGTAATATATATTTATAAGTTAATACAAATGCTACTTTGAACTCACCAGCACACTAGCCAAATCCCTCTGCACAGCCGCATAATTGGTGGGTAATCTGCCATCCTTCATTTCTCTTTCGATTACCGATGAAAACGTTCCGACATTAAATAGTGGGTGCATTTGGTTCAGCGTAGTACTGCATGCCTGAAAAACCAAACGTGTCGCCTTTTTCAGAGCCAACTACTCTGCCTACGTTCAGAAGCGAAACAACTTTGCCTACCTTTCTCACGTCTTCGTCTTCGTCATTAAGATGTAGGAGAAGCGCGACTATGTTTGCATGAAGATGTGACATGAATTCCTCGTTATCACCCCCAATTCGTGCTGCTAACTCTCCAAAAAGGCTAAACGATGCCGCCCGTAATGGAGCCGATTCCTGAAAGTGAAGAGTGAGCATGAGCCTCAACAGCTGAAATATCTGAAGCAAAGGGTAGCATAACTTGCGCTTCACAAGAAATTTGAGGAAAATGCGCCACCTTTTCGAAACAAGGACGAATCTTCAGAAGGACCTGGCGAAGTATTGAATGTAGCTGAGCATCATTGGTTCGGGATACGAGCTTATTCAAAGCAACTATTGACTCCATTGCTACCTAGAAAAGAGTTACTGTCATAACCAGAGGTGTAAACTGAGAACTCTTCTAAATTTAAGATCAACTACCGTGTCGTTTTTATCGCCAAGATCATCAAGACCACCCATTGCAGCTTCGACTGCGATGCTCGCAAACCGCTCCGCAATCGCCTCCGATGCACACTCTGAGAGCTCGCCCAAGCCACGAACGCAGAGCTGAAAAAACGAAAACTCAACTGCTGGAACAGAGGTGAAGCTTTTCTGATATCCGTTCCACTTATTTGACTGGATTCACCACATTCACGACAGCGCCCTTTTTCGCTTTTGGGTGGACTGAGCGATGATGATGAGCGTGACTTTACGGAAGCCTCACCTCACATTCGTGGATTTTGAGTGGTAAATGAAAAAAACTCAAAACACAACGTAATATCGGTAATCTATGAGAGACTCTCGTTCTCATTTACCGACAGCTCGTTTAAAGGAAGTGATCACGATAATTCCTATGGAGACGATAGGCGAGTTACGCATTGGATTGGGTAGGGGTCCTGCTCAATGAGACAACAGGTAGTGCTTCAGTGGCAGAGGCGCCTTAACAACGGCTTGATAAGGAGCCGAAACGGCTTGATAGTACGGTTGATGAGGTTCCAGGTACCAAAAACACCTCCGCATCGATGTGGAAGGGCAGCGTACTAGATATGATACCGTGGTTGTTGATGTCCGATTTTCATTCTAGAGCGCACCCCATTTCAAGCAACCGTAACTTCTTATCATATCTTATTTTCCATAGAGTTACGCTCATCCAATACTTATCTATCTCAGACTTTAAAAGTATCAATCCCTTTTTGGGATGCGGCACGCATTCTACTTCCATTTGTACATTCGTAGTGGCGTTTGAATGCGATGTGGCCTATACAATGACTTGCGGGGGCCAGCCGATGTACAAGTCAGTGTTTTTATCCTCCCAGACAAGTCTGGTACCAATTAACCGACCCCGGAGGGATGGAAGGCTTGGTTGGCCCGGGCGACTCACGACCCAGGATTTGATCCCCGGACCGCTCGCGTGGTAAGCGTGCCACTTGCCACTACACCACTTCCGCCCATCTCATCGTCAGACCTTATCGGCCGATAATTCGAGAATAGCAGCTCCACGTGGTAGCCAGCATGAACGCTTCGTCATTGTTAAAGGCAGCGATTACGATAGATTTTGAAAGGGTTTAGAGTGGATGTGGGGGTACTCAATGGTTCGCCAATGGCGAAAAAAGCAGAGAAATCCGTCAAAAATACGCAAAAAAGTACCCCTTAATTGCCGTTTCATTTTTGACCATGAATGAGTGGCGACAAAGAAAGAAGTCATTCGGACGTGTTAACCCCGATAGCCGCCATCATGCCAACAAGCATAGTGTTTTGATTGACAAGGCACTACATAAGCACGTTGGAAAATACAGCCGCTGGAAGGGAAAGGATCTTCCAAATGAAAAGCCGATAGCAGACAGCTCGCCCAAGTCACCAACTGAAGTATTGGGCGTAACGCTTTCGGAGCGAAGTACTTCGGAAGTGCTACTCAGCAACCAGCACACCTTTCATCGTGAGAGCACCACGCCTGGCTTCCTCAGCAGCCATGTAACTGCTTCGTGTGGCGCATATACTCCTCCAATGCGGCCTCTCCTTATCGTAATCGCTTCCTTTAAAGGCAAGATTCGAGCTTAGACTGATGAGTAAATTCTACTCAAATGTGATGTAGGAGCGGGAGGTGGACCGCCAGTGGAGAAAAAAGGAAAAAATGTGAAATACACAGGAAATACGAGCCTTTTGCTCTACGTTGCGGAGAAGTTCAAAAGGCCGGCAGGGAGATGAGAGATAATGTGAGCGCGGAGAGCGGTAGAGAAATCCGAGAAGAGAGAGCATAGCAGATCAGCATTGCGACGCAGACAAAATATCGAGCGGTGGGCGGAGCGTGTCGCAACAGGTGGAGCGTGTCAAAGTCCTTGGCCCCTAGCGCCTTAGTGACGCATTTCGATGCGGGAACTTTGGCGCCTTAAGGATGGGACTGAGCCCGAACTTTGCCTTTAAGCCTCAAAATATGCATGTTTAAAAAAAGTACTCTTACCTTGCGTATCCGTAGACTTTGATCGGTCAGAGAATTCTCCAGCAATCGTACACTATCAATTAACAGTTTCTCATTGAAGTCCCCATTGGAGTCGGGAGATCTGAAATAGAAATCTGCGTTTGGCCCAGCACGTAAGAAATGCCAGCTTTTATTTCAGCTTCTTTTCCATGAATGAAAATGACTAATCCGGGACGATTCAAAGCGAACATGCTCTGCAAAAATAGCGACAAACGTCGTCCAGCGCTCTCATAATGCATTGCAACGCGAAGACGTTACCACAAGGAGGGGCATCTATCGCACAACCATGCAATACATAGTAAAAAGATGGAGCTTGGCGTAAACACGTTTTAGAAATTAACCACGCTACGGACAGCAGATACCCGGAAAGCCATCTGTATGTGTGAATGTGAAGAACGGAGTATGGATAGAACTTGAAGCTTTCGAAGTTTCTAGATTCTAAACAAACTGCCAAATGTAGAGAAAAACTCAAAGTACATACTTCTTCACAAGTGCTGATGACACAATCACAGCTGCTAGTCGCATAGGTTCTCTTTCATGACTTGACTTTTCCATCACGCTCCTTGCAAGAGAATCTACCCATTCTGGACGGTGCTCTACTAAGGAGCGAACCAATACCGTAATCTGAAAGATAATTTACCTCTGGCAAGCTATCTGTACACTTAAAGAACAGCAGAGTTCAAGAAATGTGGTACACTGAGCAAAGGTGTATGAAAAGCAGCAATACAGGACTACTAACCGAGCCTATGAACAGCTCACGGTCGAGACACTCGGTCCATCCTCTCGCCTGATTCATGTCTTCAATAACGGACGTTGATTGAGTTCTGAAAAGTTCATAAGAAGCCATGTTAATATTTTGAATTTCCAAACTATCGAAATAGTTCCGCTACTACATATTTGTAATACCTGAATAACAGCGTCTTCAGAGCAGCCACAGCCAAACCAGCAGGTCTTTCAGCAGAACGTCTCAGCTCTGGGGTTATGATAAGAGGTTGCTTGGATCCTCAAAATTAAGCGGTTTAAAAATAAAGAGCTTTCACAAAACCTAGACGCTCTCTACTGACCATCCTTATTTTCCTTAACGACCACTGGAAACTGTGTGTCCGAAACGCTACAGATCATGTGAAACATTGCAGCAAAGAGCACTGGTACCCTCTCGTACAACGCCCATTCTGGTTCTCCATGCTGAAAGATAATCCTCGGTCAGTTTCCAGGAAAAAAACACATGAGGTGGCCAGCGGCGAAAACACAGCCGTGTATGCTATGAACATCGCCAAAAAGGAATAAGCGTAAGGAAAACTAAAGAAATCGTTAGGATACTTTATAATTTGAAGAAATCACCAGACTGCTACTTACCTTAATGACTTCTGTAATGGCAGCAGTGTATTGACACGGTTCTACGTGAACAATTTTTACGGAGCTTCCGCCTCCAGTATCCATGACATCATACGGGTGTTCCAGAGCGCCCGTTAGTAGCTCCAGGAGATAATCAAGAGTGTTTGCGAACAATGCCCGTTCTCTAGACACGCACTCCCACGCATCCAGAAGCTGTCTATAAACAGTACAGAATTGTACGAATGCAGTCAGGTAGAAGTGGAAAGTGCAGCAAACATACTACTACCAGTAGTGAAACTGTTCTGCAGCAGCGAAAAGGAAAAAATGAGAGATTTCCTAAGGAATGTGCGGGTCTTCTCAGAAAATGGTCCAAGAAGTGAGAGCAATGACGGCTTTGAACATAGAATGATTAAAAAGGCTACTCGGAAAGGGCCTAGCCTGACAAGACCAGCTGCATTGAGCCCGATCCTGACCCTTCCAAACAATCATGCACATGGCCACTGAATAGACCCAATATCAAGTTTTTAAGTAATGCTGTTAAAATTAGAAATCTAAAATTAACTAACACGGAATATGGTAAAGGTTGCCGTAACATCACATCACAAACGACCGTTTGTTGATGCGTGGCAAAAGCAACAAGGGCTGCAAGAAGATCGGTGTAAGTTTGGACACAGGAATGCACCTCTGGCAATCGGGCAAGCATTGTGGTCACCAATGTATCAGCCTGAAAATTGAAAAAAAATTGGTTTCCATTTCCATCCAAATTGAAAAGCAGCAGCAGAAAACAGCCGACCTCGTGAACAAGTATCGCACCTCGACAGGTCAATGCATAGGTGAGCAGTTGAGCTGCAGCGGACGAAACCTACAAGACTTAGATAAGAGGCCCTCCACACCTGCAGGAAGAACGGTAACGGAGACTAAGTTCTTGGAGACAAGCGCAACAAATGACCTTGAGGTACCTAATTGCAAATTACTTCTAGATCTCAGCTGACGATACATCAGCACTGTTTGATGACAGCAACTTTGGATTCAGACTAGTATATATTTATTATCTCGTGCTCGAACAGATTCACTGGGAGACGAACCACTAAAAACTGCAGATATTTCTAAATTGAGAACTTGAATTTAGTTTTGACTCAAAAAATTATCTGATAATTGCTGACACCAAATAGTGCTTCATAAAAAAATTGGAAAATTAGAAAAATTCTAATGGAAATTTCACATTTGTTGCCAAAAGCTACGAAGCACATGTGCTACAAACCTGACTTTGGCGATCTGTCATCATCTCGAAAAGTGCCGACAGATAGGTCTGCATTTGACATTGAGGTAAGCGCGACTCTATGACCTTAACTGAGCTCTTTAAGTCACTAGTAATTAAGAACTAAAAGAAAGGAGCTAAAGATAATAAACTAGCTAACCTCAGCCATTTTTCCTTATTGCTTTCTTAGCATCGTTGACATCAAGACGACCCTCACTATTTAAATACGTCCTTGCAAATTCATCGATTCTGAACAGTGTGGAGTCCGTAAGCGTGCCGTGGCCCTAAATTAACAGGCGTCTGATCAAGTCCCTCGACGTTTATATATTTACTTAGGAGCGTACCTTATATGCATTAGCAAGACGGAATGCATAATGAATGGCAACGAAGAGATTGATGACGAACAAGCGCCAACGAGTCCACCAAACGGGGCGTTAGACGGGCCAACAACGACGACAAAGGCCCAAAATCACTTGCTATCTAAATATCATCGTTTAAGAACATTCACCGCCTACAATCATGCTAACACTCACTCCTATGCTTATATCCTCCGCCCTGTCTAGGTATACTCGTAGTACTTGCACCGTAGCATCGATCGACCTGCTACGTTCATGTTCCGCCAGCTTTCCATAGTACGGTAACAACATCTAAAATGATTGCTTCCTCTCACAATAATTGTTAATGATCGACAAGACTGATTTGATTGGCAATTGATTGGCAGAAGATTGTTTATAGCAATACGAACCTTTAGTAGCTGCGTAACCGTTCCAACGGTTGGTCGCATTTCGACTATTGCCTCCAATGCGTTACCATACTGCGCTACCGTAGCGTCCATGATCGTTGCCGACTCGTCATCGTCAATCTTAACATCCAGATTCTTGCTGATGAATTAACTAGATTTTGTTGAAACTCAAGAATGGCTCTCAACCATCACAAAACGCATTGTAGGAAAATAAAGGTAACAATAAAATAGACGCACCACAAATACTAATAGTAAGGAAAGAAGCAGTTTGTCGTCTCATCATTCCATTCAAATGGAAGGGCCAATGAACATGAAGGGTTTTCGAACAGGAGGAGGGGCACGGAAGGCAATAATACGTGGCACCGGAAGTAATCCCCAATGTCGGCAGAGGGAGAAAGCTCCGGGGTGGGTGAACCACTTCGCTTTCGCTTTCAAACCCAGCCCACATTTTTATATCACAACAAAAATTGCGATTACTCTGGGCAACACCAATTGCTGTACCAAGCCTCTCCCAGAACCCGATGTTTGACCACACAGATTTTTTTATTTCAATTTTTACAGTTTCAACGTCTTGAAATAAGGAATCTTGCTTATCTGCACAGATGCAGAAATTATGCCACCAGTTACGTGCTTGGTGAAACTTCAGCAGTAGACGAAACTTCATTTGGGGAAACTGTATCTAGTGCTATTTCCTACAGATCCCCTCCCACAGTGAGGAATTTCGGCCAAAGCAGTCTCAGCTACTGAACCCGACTAAACCTTCCAGTGTACTAAACCGGTTACAGTACTTTGCAAACTTTGAAGTTTTGTTCACAACCCAGCATTCTTGTGAAACATTCGCAAGGCGAACTGCGGCCAAAAACAGCAGTTAACAAACAAAAACAAGTCAAAATCAATTTGAGCTGTCTAGTTTGCAAATAAGACGAGAGCGGATTGTTGGATGTTTCCATTTAGATTTAGACCCTGATTGCATGAAACTTAATCTGCATTACGTTGGTGATGACGAGTCAATGTTTAATTGATCGACTGCTATGCGCGTAGTGCAGGAACCCCAACGTGGACAAACGCGAAACACGACTTCGACCGCTTGATATCTAGGTCATCTGTTAATCCTCTGGAATAAAAAAAATCCTTGGCGAAAGTTTTGCGAAAAGGGAAGTGCACCGTCAGGCGCATGAACTTTGAAGCAGCGCACTCCCGATAATTGGAAATGCAAAGGGTTGACATATTCTGAAATGCAGTTTTTGGGTGGTTCTCGGAAACCAGCACACGGTCCCTGCTGTGGAAAGTACTGTAACCAGTCGAGCTCGCCTTGGTTCACTTCTATGGATGGGTGGGGAAACACATCTGAAGTCCCCGAATGCTCCTTTTTCTTGCTTCTGTTAACATCCTCACTACTAGAATTCATATCTCAGTGTACATGAAAATTCTCCAAAAGCTCAGAAAAAAACCGAACAGTTGAATTTTTTAATTCCTGCCTTAACGGTTTACGGCGTGAAACTGTTACAGCCCAATTATTTAACGAAAGGTGCTACACAACTAAGCAGGAATCCTCTTGTGAGGCGGGGTTCTCCAGTAGAATATGAGCTTCTCTCGTGGTCCATTAGAAGCTGGAGCAGACTCTCAGCAGGGATATTTTGATGGTTGCGAAACCCGACTCAGTAGAAAATAAGGCTCATATTGCTGGTTCCACTCGGCATTTTTAGACCACTCTCCCTCCTAACCAGGGTGGATGTGGTGAAGTGGCAAGTAGCGCTACTAATCACGCGCAATCTGGGGACCAAATCCTGGGCCCCCCAGTCCTTCCATTCTTTCGAGGTCGGTTAATTGGTACCAGACTTATCTGGGAGGATAAGAACACTGACTTGCACATCGGCTGGCCACGCAATTCATTGTGGAGCAATTCAAATTGGCATAACGATTCTGAATGGAAATGGAATGCGCTTGGCGCATCCCACAACGGGACTGATCAACACCGGAAATGCTTTGCTTTTTGTTGACCTTTCCCATTTTTTAGCGTAGACAAAGGAGGACGAAAATTGGTCGTGCTACGGTTAGTGTCATTGATTATGTTTTATAGCCTACAGATCATCCGAATTCCACAAGGAAAGCGAAATAGTCTGTGCAGCATCAAATGAGAAATTTAGGTAGAAGCACAAGGGTTGTGGAAAAAAGCACAGCAGAAGCCATAAGAAGAGATAATGCGACAAAGCTTTGCGCTGGTAAGCAAATCGCATACAGGGCGTTAAGAGTTTTGAAAGATAAGCCACGTTAAAAAGAAGTAGTGCAGAAGCTCTGAAGAAGCCACCAACTCAAAGGGAAGATAGGAATGAGGTAAAGATATTGTTTAAAAACAGCATACCTTCTTCGTACCAGCACGGTTACTGGACGACGTAAAAGACGAAATCGACGTTGATGCATAGTCGAACAAATCATATGCCAACTAAAACGAAAGGCCAAAGATAGGTGAACAAGCAAAGCTTATTTAGTCGTCAGACTTTGCGACAGCTTTCATCATACAAGTAAACAACTACTGTCTAAATCCGAGCTGTGACAAAACCTATTGTGAGTCAGGGGGATTTGGGGAGCAAAAAGAAAAACTGCACACCATTGCACCTAGCAATTACACAGCAAGACGTTTCCACAACGAAAAGAACGTGTATGCTTGGTATAATCAACAAAGCCTATCGAAAACACCCAAATAATAAAATAACAATATCCCCACCGTTTTGAGTCCACTCTTCTCACGACACATTGGCAAGATGTATTGCGTCAAAACACAACCCAAATCCCAAATGTCGTCATCACTGAGAGGAGGTTCGAGGCGCCTGAAACTCTTTCACTGGGACTTTCTCTCCAAGACTCACATTAAAGCAGCAACAATGCAAAGCAAGATAATTTATCACTCACACAAGAGCCGCTGTAGCTTTCGCCGCCAATAGCCGAAGAGAGCTCGATAGCATTTCAGGCGTTTCACTTTGCACATAATCCTTAAACAGAATGATCTAAGCAGTCTTCCCACATTCGTGAGTTGGTTATACTTAAATGAAATGAATGACGCCGTTATCATTTACTTCTTGATTTACAACTATCACGAATAATTCCAGTAAATGTCCAGAAAGGACAAAGCTGAAACTATCAAAACGTTGGTGAGGTTTGCATATAGAATCCACCTACCTTGATATATCCGATCAGTTCGTTACGGGCATCAAATTTGTAGTCCCCTGGAAGTCTAGATGGATGCACAGAAATCGCTATCAATCGCATTGTTTCAAGCATAGCTTCACGCACAACAGTTTCTTGCTGAAAATGAAACCACTTAGTAACTCTGCAGGATCGCTGTGATTTACGATCAAAAGATTATCTGAACTTCCTTCTAGGTTCTCTTTCTAAAAAAATCGAAGCGCATACGCTCAGAGGAGGACGCCTTCCGCAGGTTCTAGCGGTGCCAAATGAGAAATGAGAGCCAGAATATCGCTTTCTTGGCCTAAGACCATACTAGGCAAAATTCTTTACAGTCAGAGCGGGTCCTGTACGCGGCCAGCAGCGCGTGTCCTCATTCGACTGCTCTGTTGCATCCTTCATGTTCTACAGCAACTCATATTTCTCGAGCACAATTGTTATTGTCATAGATACTGTTACTCGGTAATGTTCTCTGAGGTTTTGCTTTTGCTGTTACTCCGTTAAGCTTTTCAGCCTGTCCTTACACTGCCGTTATTAAATAGAATAAAAAACAATATCCAGCACGATTCTTCATCTTATCTTAGCTCTGTCCTGTAAGCGGGGGTCCGCATTTTAAGGAGATCCAGCCACGATAAAATGAAACAATTCATGTGACGGTCAGTGACCACATTACGCGCAACATAAAAGGTTCAAAACAAGCAGCTGCTAGGGGATAACCTACTTAGAGCGAGTAGTACCATAAGCAGCACACTGACGTTTTTTGAAAACCGCCAGGAACTTTCAACTAACCCGTAATTTACAATTCCGGGGTTAAATTCGGAGCTTTCAACATTGGAGGAAAGCAAATAATTAATAGCACACCTAAACCAATAATTTGGAAAGCTCAAAAATTGGCTCAATTGATATAATGTTTACAATTAGGACCACAGTCAGATTGTGTGGCATCAAGAGTAAATCAAATCACTAACAAAAAGTAACACATGTGGATCGAAACCAAAAAGTTAATCGTAGAACACACACCAGCATTGTTTGAGACACTTTTTAATGTTGTTTTCACAAGAATGCTGGGTTGTGAACAAAACTTTCGCCCCAGGCGGGACTAGAACCCGCACCTCTCGCTTTCCGGGCAAGTGCGCTACCAGTTACGCTACCGGGGCACCATTTCATTCCAACTCAGCTTTTCATGGTATACGTACCATAGCTTTCAGCACTCACACGTCTAACGTGTTGAGCCGGTTAGCCGATATCGGCAATGACCGCGAGGCTGAAAGCTTTAGCAATGAATTTTGACTTGTTTTGTTTGTTAACTGCTGTTTTAACGCCGCAGTTCGCGTTGCGAATGTTTCACAAGAATGCTGGGTTGTGAACAAAACTTTCGCTCTTGTGTAACATAATATAATATAATTAGCATATAATATATTATAAATGTTTTTTAAATATTTATGAATATTATATAATAACTTGATAGTAATGTAATATAATTATATATTACTTTGATTATAATATATACCTACTATATTTATAATCGCGCTAAGTCTGTCTGTTGCTCTGATCCTGTCTTGTCTGTCTGTCACGAAATTCCGTATTAAGCGGACAACAACCTACTGGGTCCAGGTCAAGTCATGTTTGATGGGTGTACCATATCTCGAGAAGTAAAAAACATACATTACCTAAGCGGAGCCCCGCCCACAGTGGGCGTGGCGTGCGTCGAAATGAGTGGTACTGAGGACCATGATTTCAAATTCAGTCACAAAACAGCTCGAGACCGGGACAAAAGTGGGCATAGGTGTGGGTTGGTAAGCCAGATTGAACTGAGGAGACCCACCCTCGGTGGGCGGGGCGTTCTCTAGAAAATGGGTGCTCAGTGAAAATATTCATAACTCGGTTAAGAGGAAGCCTACAGACCAGGAACGAAATTAGTGCAGGGGAGCAATGCCTAAGGTATTTCCACCACGCATGATGTGAACGGAGGCCCGCCCACAATGGGCGGAGCGTGTCGTGAAGCGGACAGCATTTTCTACAAGAGCTCATAAATCGGCTCCGAGATGACTTAGAGACCGGAAAACAACGGATAGAGGTCAGGAGGGGAGGGGAAGCTAAATGTCAGGGATGGGCGTGGCTTACATCAAAGTGGGCGGAGTTTGCAATTAGGCTTATAACTCGGTTCCTAGGAGTCCCGGAGTCCGGGAAAAAAGCGTATGAGGGTTGGCAGAGGGAAAGGGGTCAACCGTTGTTGGCGGGCGGAGCATGCACCAAAGTGGGCGGGGTTTGCCACGGTACTTCATAACTCGGTTCCAATAAGTTCCAGAGATGGGAGAAAAGTAGAAAAAGGTTGGGGAAGAGATGATAGCCGACTGATATCAGTGGGCGACCCACGCACCAAAGTGGGCGGGGTTTGCCACAAAGATACGTAGCTCGATTTCGTCCCCTACAAGACCTCATAATTCTGGCTCCGAGATGACTTAGAGACCTGAAAAAAATACGCCAGAGGTGAAAGTAGGAGTAGAGGTTGAATGTGAACGCTGGGCGTGGCACACCCGGATGTGGGCGGAGTTTGCCACCGCTCTCATAACTCGGTTCCTAGAAGTTCCGGCGACCGGGGAAAATGTGCATAAGTATTGAGGTATGGAGTAGGGTTGAATGCCATTGTTGGGCTAAGCATGCACCAAAGTGGGCGGGGTCTGCCTCAGAAATTCGTGACTCATAACGCCATTTACAAGACCTCATAATTCGGCTCCGAGATGACTTAGAGACCTGAAAAAAATACGCCAGAGGTGAAAGTAGGAGTAGAGGTTGAATGTGAACGCTGGGCGTGGCACACCCGGATGTGGGCGGAGTTTGCGGCGTAAGTAAGATGTACCGAGCAGAAAGCTAAAATCAAGACAAAAATACTGATGGGCCCGATTTTACCGCTGCAGCCCCGTCTCATGCACGCGAATGCGTGCGCAGCCAAACTGGTATAATATATATATATATTATTAAATATATATATATATATATATTTGTCGTAAAACGTCAGAACAACGGTGGCGGTCTCGCGAAAGCGACGCATTTGATGCGGATCCTTAGAAGTTATAAGAGCTTTAATCATATCTGGAAAAAACTACCTTGCTGTTTGCAAAGTAATGCCTCAAGAATGGGACGATCGTGTGCTGAAGCCGTTGAGTAAGCGTGTCGAGTGGACAGGCTTGCACTACATATCCATAACTAAGCATGAGACTAGCACGCAGCAAAACCATTTCCGTGTCAGTGTACTGACGGATAGGCATCGCATCCTGAAACACTACTGGAACCTGACTAACTAAAAGGTTCACGGTGTTAAGCATCTCTCACCTTGATGAATCCAAAGAATCCCGAGCTCTTCTTTGCATGCTCCCACTTCGAGACGTTCTCCAACTCCACCAGAACTAAATCTGTGTGTGTGGAGGCGCATGCTCCCACACCGCGTGCACATCCCTGCCGCTCAGTCGGGATATTATGCTGAGCAGATCTAAACAACAGTCAGTCATAAAAGAGTCCTTAACACATGACAGACGTAACGGAGTTTATGAAAGAGAGCCATGCACTGAACAATAGAGCATGAGGTGATCGACAACAAATGATTTCAAGGCAATTTTGGATAACGCTGTGCCAAGACATCGCAAAAGAAACGCCTGAAATCATTCAAGTCAAGATATTCCATTCGAAAAACTATTAAACCAGCACCCTACCTTCTCTTCAGGGTAGTCTTTGTACAAATCTAGCTGTTTACCCATAACAGCCGCCAAGCTCATTCGCCACTCGCCCGCACGACCACAGACATGCACGCCAACAGCATTTCCAGGCACGCCTCATGCCACCTGCATATAAGGTTACCGCTCGAAAACGATTCTGGCACATATTCAAATAAATCCAGAGCATCTTGCGTTTCATCGCGTGAAAGGAAAATTTTCGCTTATACCGCGTTCGAAACAAAAAAAGCACATCGTTTTTCCTGCTTCCCAGTGCTGGAACGCACCTTATACGATGCCCCCTACGCCAAAGATTAGAACTTGATGCAAAATGTAATGAAAAACCGTTTTTCTCAAACCTACGCCACCTGTTCTCAAACCAAGAACAAATAGTTTTGTTTGCATTCATAAATGTGTAATCGCGCTGAGAAAAGAAGCCTGAAAGCAAGGAGGGATATATTACTTTACTCAGTTTCAAAATGTGCTGCGCTTAAAAAATGTTGCCCGTTAATACCTACTTAATTAAAATGCGGCCACCACTTGACTCAAACGAAAACCAAACGCTAATTAGCACTCCGAAAATCAAAAATAACCCCCTTGGTAAAATATCCATCTCGCGAATATGCACGAATATACCGGGCCGTCCGATAGTTTTGTGATGACTATAAACGCGGCTTGAAAAATCATATCTGTGGGGGAAATCTTCTATATCACGACCCAACAGTTGCTGCAATTGCGCTCGTGTTAATTAGAACTTTACCGATTTTCGTCACATGGAACAGATACGTTTCTGTACATAGTTTGGAACTGCTAGAATATAGGTGTGATACAAACGGACTGTTGGATGAAAATGAACGTTTTCTATACGGATAAAACAGATTTGGGATCTTAGGCACCATGAACGGAGTAAGTTGGAGGCCTATAACTATAACAGAGTTCGTACGAATATATTGTGTTGCCAGCCCATGTTGCATGATTTTTACACAAAGCAAGAAACTCACCTCGCTATTCGACGTCTCTCAGTTCAACTGCTGACGTGACACTCTCTGAACGACTCGGTAGTATGTGGCCACACTTCTTAAAGAATACTTTGGCATAGATTACCCCAAGATGAACAACTAAAAAACGGTGAAAACGAAGACATTTACAGAAAATCATGCATGATTTTGAATAGAGGCTACTGCGATGACCGAGCCAGCCTATGCACAGCTAGGTGACGACAGACTTGTGGCCACACCTCCACAAAACTCGGTGAGAGATGTTCAACATCAAAGTTGTATACAGGGCTATCTTTTGATTTCAACGCCGGGGACAACCTTTAGTGCAGCGGAAAGTTTCAAGTAAATCACCCTGAACCGCACCATGATCTCATGCTTACTACAATGATTGATTGTGTCAACAGCATCGATGAATCCTTTACTACGAGACGCACCTCTAACTTCACCTTCAAATCTCCAAAACTGGCCAAACACCGCTACATTTATTTTTTACCAGCAGCAACTTGTCGCAATTGCTTCTCTTAATGCTGAGTATGGGATTCGGTTCTTAAGGTAGTTTACACTCCCCAGCAAATTACGGAACGTTAAATAACCTTTTTAGGAGGCGCCATGCATCTTACTTCAATTTTACTTTTACTTCAGAATGACGGCAATTAAATGTTTAGCTTTTCCAACTCACTGCGGGGAACAAGTGATGCACAAGACAGCATTATCGGCCTTTCAGACTGGTGACCCGTGTGACCCGTACAGGCGGAAAAGTTACTTCACCTGAACGGGATTCTGTTCGAGATTTGGTACCCGGACCGTGTATCCTCATGTGGTAACAACCCGCCGAACAACCCAACCCCACCACGACACTTCTACACATCTGGCAAATGGCAAAGCATGTATGTGCACCACTGAAAGGTTTGAACGAAACCAGCACCCCACAACTGAAGCGGTCTCCTCTTTCGGATAATTATAGGAATGAAGTCAAGCAAGACTACATAAAACAACCTGAGGACTATGGTTAGTCTCATACAAGCATGCAGTCCAGCTTATGCAAAATTCTACGTGAGAGAGAAAACATAAGCGGCAACTTTTGCCAGGCAGTTGTAACAAGAAATCTCAACACGAGTGTGAGACACTTGTATATACAAAGCAGCCTCATATTTGTTTGCATAATCTGGATCTTATCAATAATGATGTGTTAGTGGAGCCCACCATCCATAAGAGATTCCATACGATCTGACCATTTCTCGAGTACATCGGTCATCGACGGATGGAACCACGAGCCTAGCACGCGCATCAAACCATAACTCTCTCTTAAAACTTATTTGTACAAATATATTAATCACGATATCACGTGGACGAAGAAAACTCAATCACCTTGCTCTCCTTGCTAAAAGTCCGTTCAGCGGGGCGTTGCACAAGCATACGAAAAGGCGTGCTAGCACAGCATGATTGCCAGCTACACGAGCTGAAAAGTTGCCAAATGATCGAAAAGAACTTCATTGCTTCCGAAGGGAAGAGGGAAAGAAAAGAGATCGTGGACATCGTGAATGAATGGCTTTGAAACCTTCAGAATTCAAACAGATGAAACCATGTGGAGTGAAAGAATGAGAACTCCGTCAAGCCCTATACAGAGCCAAAATGATTTTCATATTAAAAGCTTTTTCTTTCCAATATTCCTTTATTCTTTACTTTTACTATATGTTTTACCGCGTCT